GTCGGTCAGTCAACATTTAAGCAATAAAACAAATCCAAAATACATAGAGATTCACGCATTTAGAGTACTGCTGAATGTGAAATCAAAACATTACTGGCCATTGTTTATATATAATACATCAATTTCTCACTAAGCCGAGTCCCTATCACATTCAACAAACTAGCTAAAGCTGCAGAGTTCTGATACTATTTGCATAACAAGAGCAGAAATGGCCTTTGCTATGGTGGGAGAGGCTCTTATCTCTGCTTCAGTGGAGATCTTGCTGGATAGAATTACTTCTTCAGAGTTTCGAGATTACTTTGCCAACAGAAAGCTCAATGTTTCTCTCTTGGATGAGCTGAAGATAAAGTTGTTGTCACTCAATGCTGTGCTGAATGATGCTGAGGAAAAACAGATCACTGATCTTGCAGTGAGGGCATGGCTTGATGAGCTCAAAGATGCTGTCTTAGATGCTGAGGACTTGTTGGATGAAATCAACACAGATTCTCTGAGGAGCAAGGTGGAGGGAGAATCTAAAACCTTAACTACCCGGGTCAGATCATTACTTTCTTCTCCCTTTAATCAATTTTATAGTAGCATAAATTCCAAGCTTGAAGCAATATCTACAAGGCTAGAACATTTTGTGAAACATAAAGATATTCTTGGTTTGCAAAGTGTTTCCAGGAGAGTATCTTCCAGAACAGTTACAGATTCATTGGTTGAATCTGTTGTTGTTGCTAGGGAGGATGACAAAGAGAAGCTATTGAGAATGCTTCTATCTGATGAAGATGGGAAGAACAATCATATAGAAGTGCTGACAATATTGGGCATGGGTGGTCTTGGAAAAACAACCTTAGCTCAATGTCTTTATAATAATAATGCAGTGCAGAAGCATTTTGATTTGACAACTTGGGCATGGGTATCTGATGATTTTGATGTGTTTAGAGTTACGAAGACAATTGTTGAATCTGTCACTTCTAAAAAGAGTGATAGTAGTAATTTAGATGCACTTCGGGTTGAATTGAAGAACAACTTGACTGATAAAAAATTCTTGCTTGTGCTCGATGACCTTTGGAATGAAGGCCTGTTCCAAAATGGAAAAAACACTTTTAACATCGGTCACTGTTGACCGATTTTAAAAGTGAGACTTTTAACATCACTCACTGTTGACCGATTTTAAAAGTTCCACTTTTTAAAATTGGCTCTTTTAAAATCGGTCAGAGAACCGATTTTAAAAGTCAAAAATGACCGATTTTAAAAATGGCCTGTTCCAAAATGGAAAAAACACTTTTAACATCGGTCACTGTTGACCGATTTTAAAAGTGAGACTTTTAACATCACTCACTGTTGACCGATTTTAAAAGTTCCACTTTTTAAAATTGGCTCTTTTAAAATCGGTCAGAGAACCGATTTTAAAAGTCAAAAATGACCGATTTTAAAAATGTTTTTTCCACTAGTGAACGCGGTTCTTAGGATCAATGTCTCTTCTTCTACCTTTCTTCTAGCTATTTCCATCTTGTGATTTCTTCTATGGAGAGCTAAAGCTCTTGGATTAGAATTGATGTAATCATCGAACTCTTGTGTATTCCCTTTTGATTCACACACACACACACACACACACACACACACACACACACACACACATATATATA